TAAGAGATGACTGGGATTTTTATCATGGAAATAAAAAGTTATTGATTACCTGCATGGCTCCACTTCAAGGTTCCCCTGATGCTGAATGCTCGCCTGAGGGGTAGTGAGGATAACATCTCCCCCTCCCCAGACATGTAATTTCCAAAACCGAGCACTCGCCATGCTTCTTTCCCACGCATGGCTGTGCTTACTCCAGGGCCAAGAGGAAGATGGAACTTCAGCTTGTTATACTAAAAATATGAAAATAAAACTGAGCTCTGTAGGATCGTTTTAAATGAAAAGTGCTTCCTCAAGGCAAGACAAGGGAGCAAGCTGATTGAGAGAGCACAGGGCTCTGGGTGGGAAGGGTGGCAGAGCAATGCTAGGTGGGGGCTTCTGTAGAAACCGACGCAAGCCTGTCGAAAAGCCCTCTCGGCCAAGGCCAGATGGATGCCCTGTGATGTCCTCCCCAGTCCCTTCCACTGTTGCTGTCAGGTGCCATCAGTTCAGCCCTGACTCATAGCAACCCTGTGTACAACAGAACAAAACACTGCCCAGTCCTGTGCCAGCCTCACAACCCTTGCTATATCTGAGCCCATCATTGCAGCCACTGTGTCAACCACTCATTGAGGGCCTTCCCCTTTTTCATTGACCCTCCACTTTACCAAGCATGATATTCTCCTCCAGGGAATGGTCCCTTCTGACAACATGACCAAAGTAGGTCAGACAAAGTCTGACCATTCTCACCTCCAAGGAGCATTCGGCTGCACTTCCTCCAGGACAGATCTGTTAGTTCCCCTGGCAGTCCATGGTACTTTCAGTATCCTTCACCAACATCACAACTTAAAAGCCTCAAATCTTCTTCAGTCTTCCTTATTCATTGTTTCATCCCCAATTCTTTCCATTGGGGTCCAAAATCACTCCATAATACCGCTAGCCACTGATCACACTCTTGCTTGAAACTCACTTGGCTGGATACCAGTTGATTTCCCCATGGAACACCATGGAACCCCTGCCAGCCAAACATGCACAGACAGGGGAATTATCTGAAATCGGCTTAGCTTGTAGGAAGGGTAGATTAGAAGGCTACACTCCCAGTCACTCTCAGTCAGTAGGTTTGGTAAGGGGCCCGGGAACATGCATTTTCACAGGCACTCAAAGTGATGACTGGGATGCAAGTGATGCACACGCCACACTCTAAGGAACACTGGGGACTAGAAACTGGGTAAAACACAGTCCCCTTCCTTAAGGAGCCTGCTGTCTAGTAGAAGACATGGACAGATGAATTGGTGATTAAAATACAGTTTGGCCTACTGACTCTGGGCAGAGCTATGGAGTCAGCCCAGGGTCCAGATCCTGCCTAGCTCCCCAACTTACCAACTGTGAGGCTCTGAGCAAGGCTGTTACTCTGAGTCACAACTTCCTTATCTACAAAGTAAGAGGGGCAAACAGTTAACGTGCTCCGCTACTAACCAAAAGTTCAGAGGTTTGAGTCCACCCAGACACACATGGGGTCACCGTGAGTCAGAATCTCTGCAACAGAAACTGAAGAACTGCTTATACCACTGTGAGAATAAATGAGACCTGTAAAATGCGTAACAGTGAGGAAGCACCCAAGATAGCCATTAATTACTATTAAGGTAGAGTTCCTGGGTGGTACAGTTAGTGCACTTGGCTGCTAACTGAAAGGTTGGAGGTTCAAGTCCACCCTGAGGTGGCTTGGATGAAAGGCCTAGCAATCTACTTATGAAAAAATCACCCATTGGAAACACTATGAAGGACAGTTCCACTCTGATACAGATGGGGTCACCATGAGTCAGAGTTGGCTCGACAGCAACTGTTACTATTATTATTATTATTATTATTATTACTATTAAAGGCAGGAAGCAAGTTGTATTCATTTTCCTATTCCCCAGCCCCCAGCTGTAAGCTGTCTATGTTGCTGTTGTTGTTATGTGCCGTCAAGTCAGCCCCAACTCATAGTGACCCCTCCTTGGGTTTCCGAGGCAGTATCACTACGGAAGTAGGATTGCCCAACCTTCCTTCCGAGGAGTGGCTGGTGGGTTTGAACCGCCAGCCTTCTGGTTAGCAGTCAAGTGCTTTAGCCACTATGCTAGAAGCTGTCTATAGCTGGTGTTCACTAGATGCTTAAGAAAATCAAGAAAGCATTACTTTGGAGCAGGGCTTTGCACTAGTTCTTCCTGGTTCAGTCATGGCCCAAGAAACAAAAACAGAATGGATTCATATTTATAAAATGTGGGTAAACCAGAATAATCACTCAAATGGGAAAATGTATAGGTTGACACCCTGTTAGAAACTTAAGTTCCCTCTTCAAAAAAAAGGGCAGCATTTGTGTTGCACAGCAACCAAATCTCTTGACCAACAGAGTAGGAAGCAATGGTGCCCTGCTCAAAGATGGTGGGTGACTGTGCCATTTTAAATATGTGTTGATGTCCACAGTCCTGGCAATAATCCAATCTACTGCACCAGGCTCCTGAAAGAGCTCATTATGCCTCTTCCCAGTCTTCCATTCCAGGGTGTTGACCCATAATTTTTCCCATTCCAGTTCTCCTTCCACTTGCCCAAATTTTAAGAATCTGGGTCTGTTCCAATTTCACTTCACTGGTGATGACTGAAAAGGTTTGAATTGATTTGAAGCCCTGCTTTGGAAAAAAAAAAAAAAACTCAGCTGGATCCATTCACTCACCCAACAAGTATTTATTGAGCACCGGGTGTTTACAAAGCTCAATGTGTAGGCAATGGTGAGAAACAGTCAAGTGGAATACACCAGTCTAGTGGACAGACCCATTGTTACAGTATAGTACAGTCAGTCCAAAGTAGAGGTAACTTGAGAGGTACAGTCCAGCACTTGATTACATTCCGTCCTTTAGCATCTTCATGTTTATTGCATGACTCTCTTCCCAAACTGTATCATAACCTTTGAGGGCAGGAGTTGTCTGTCTTGTTTGCCACCAAATCCAAAATACCTAGCAAGGTACCAAATACAACCTACTACCAAACCAAACCAAATTCACTGCCATCGAGTCGGATCCGACTCATAGCAACCCCTCCTTAGGTTTCTGAGGTGGTATCACTATGGAAATAGATTGCCCAACCTTCCTTCCAAGGAGTGGCTGGTGGGTCTGAACCACCAGCCTTCTGGTTAGCAGTCAAATGCCTTGGGCAGTATGTCACCAGAGAGCCTGTGCAATCTACTAGGCATTCGATAAGTATTTGTGGAAGTAGTGACTATTCTGCTGCTACTTCAAAGCCCAATGCTGGACTGCTATGAAGAAGCACCTGCAGCCTCCTTGGCTACTAAGTAGGATTCTTAATCGGCCCAGAGAGAAGAAACCCAGAATATCTATTTGTCCATTCGCATAAAGCCTGACAGTGAGAGGAGATAAGGACAGGCTCCAATATATTTAGGAGTGCTTTCAACGACTTATGAAACAAACCAAACTGGAGATTAAGTACTGTCAGACTGACCCAGAGGCCTATGGAATGATTAAAGCAAAAAGACAGTATATGGTTTCTATTCCAACACCCCACAACGGAAGAAAACAGTAAACAAAGACACCCTTTGTTGTGTGTGTGTGTGTGTGTGTGTGCATAACCTACCAACCAAGCAACCAAACCCACTGGCATGGGGTCTGACTCACGGCAACTCCATGTGTTACAGAGTAGAACTGCTCCATGGAGTTTTCCTAAAGGCTGTAACCTTTGGAAGCAGATTGTCAGGCCTTTTTTCCACAGTGCCACTGGATGAGTTCAAACCACCGATCTTCAGATTAGTGTTGTTGTTGTTATGCGCTATCAAGTCGGACCTGACTCACAGCGACCACTCCTTGGGTTTCTGAGGCAATATGGCTACAGAAGTAAATTGCCCAACCTTCCTTCTGAGGAGTGGCTGGTGGGTTTGAACCGTCAGCCTTCTGGTTAGCAGTCAAGTACGTTAGGCATTACGCTACCAGAGCCCCTCTTCAGGTTAGTAGTGGAGTAGAAACCATTTGTACCACCCAGGGACCTT